ACATATTGGTGAACTATACACCCTTTCTTTAATAAATCTCCAAACGGAATAATCCATGTGATTTAGATCTGGCGATCGTGGCGGCCAAGCAATGGGACAGGTACCAGGTTCTGCATGATTCATTTCCAGAATACGCCCGATCCAAAGACGTGGACAGTGCTCCCCGAGCCACTGCCTAATTTGAAGACCATAAATAAATCCACATATTTCTCCTTAGAAGTAAGTAATGGTAAGTCGTCGAATAAAGTATTTATATCCTCTTCTTTGTTTCAAATTGAGTGATAAAATTGGGGCGACATTTTTTTAGTAAGGACTATTTTTTTCTTGGATAACTTATTCCAAAATACACTCCAGTGGCGTAGTTACTTAGGGAGTAGGGGACTTTTTTGAAAAAAAAAATCGTACGCCACTGTTTTTTTTTAAATAATTTTAAATGTTTTTAAAATGTACAATCAATTTGTGGCAATAAAGTATTCTTGTAAAGTATTCGTAACATTTACTGGTCTTTAGATAACTGGGAAATCAAATAAGAAGATCTTGTATCTACGTTGCTATTTACCATTTTCTATTGATTGCTGAATGTGTAACAATAAATTCAATTCCTAATATTTTTGAGAGATTTCAAAGCAATATATAACATCACAAGAAATGTTCAAAATGCTATCCTTGGGATGCAGTGCATGTTGCAGCGTCTCCGCATTGATCGTCTTAGACGCTTCATATTTCCAGCCGTATTGTGTATGGTTGCGAAACCCTCTACAATGCGCTGTCAAAGTACTTCTACTTTGGGTACTGGAGTATGATGTATCATAGGGATTCGGGTCAGGGGAACGAGCCAGCCAAGCAACGGGTCCTCCTCTACCAATTCAGTGATTAGGATACTGATTATTCAGCAACTGTCTAACGGTAAGTCTGTAATGCATATACCACAATAATTGGCGTGACCACAATGGCACTTCTTCTAGAAGTGTTGGTAATTCTTCTTGTAGGAACCTTTGATAAGTTGTACCATCGAGGGTTCTGGGTAAAAAATAGGGACCAATCAAGTAATCGTCCACAATGCCTGTCCAAGCATTCAGAGAAAATTGTTTTTGGAATCGACGTTAGGAAATAATAATATGCGGATTTTCATCCGCCCATTGGTGGTTATTATTATGACAATTCGAAATGGTTTCTCTTGTGAATTTCGCTTGATCGGTAATTAATATTAATAACTAGGGTTACAGATCTATTTCATATGACAGAACCGGAGAACTTGATGCCTAAAAAAAAGGTCTCAGAAAATCTGGGAGTCAAATTGTTTTCGAAGAAATCGATCGATCTCTAAAAAAAAGGACGTACTCAGGAAATATCTACTTCTCTACTTCGTGACACACCTGAAACAGAAAATAACTTATGTCTAAAAAAAAAACGACGGAATCAGGAAATATGGAGAAGAAATCACTATTTTTCCAGGAAACCCGGAGAAATGACATGTTGACCCGGAGCCCGAAGATGTACCATCAAAACCCGAAGACTCCAGGTCAAACCCGGAGATGAAGCAGCCCTAATAATAACTGATAATCAGGCTATTCGCATTGTTGTAAAAACCACTGACAAAATTCAATCCTCGGTTGACAGTCATTTTCGTTTAATGCATGAACTCGCTGGACATAATATGGGCTTATGCAATTACTTGCTGCTCACGTAAGATGTTCCAGATTGTTACATGTGATACTCCCAAATCTGTTGATATCTGTCTGGTACTGGTCTATTGGAATCTGTAGATGGGTCTTTATCTACAGATTCCAAAATTCTGTCTTCCAATTGAACTGTACGAAGAGGTCTTTCTTTTGCTTGACGTTTTGTTAGCGATAAACATACACTTTTACGAGCTCGACGGTGAATGCTGGTAAAAGTATTCCTTGTTGGACAACGTCGATTTGGAAAAGTCTGTCTATAAAGTCGTTCAGCTTGTTTAACATTGTCATTCGCTGTACCGTATGTAAAATGTATATCTGCTAAGTAAATATTTGTATAACGGACCATAGCTAGCAGAGAAACGCGACAAAAATGTGTGACATGAAGAAATAGTCCCTACTAAAAAAATGTCCCCCCAAATTTTATCACTAAATAATTTTTGCCAGTGAAGTTATAGGAAAAATAATTTAAATATTTGAAACTTTTAACACCCTGTATCTCCGTAGGGAAGCGTCCTATCAAAAATTTTAATAAGGTTGATCATTTTCATCGGTAGAATACGCCATTAAAGTTTGGCAAAACTTATTATTAAGTTGGCTGTATTGTTGATAATGAAGGAAAATACTACAGAAAGATCGAGAAAGATTGACCGGATTCTGAACGTACCCTGTCTCAATTGCTATCAAAACTGATTTCCGTTTGCTAAAATTACTTTTTTCCGTGCGATTTCATGGCGTTCTGTGGCGATTTCACAATTTGACGTTCTGTTCATTGGCGCACGGATTTTTTGGCTTGAATATTATTTTGTAGATTTTGTTGTTACCTGATATATTTTGCGACATTATAAAACAGTATTTTTCAATACTACAGTTAGAGTAGGTGGATATTATACGTGAGTAATTAATTTATTGCGTATGTTGTTCTCTAACCTAATCGGTTTTTTAATTTAGGTTAACATGGCATTTTCATTAGAACATGATAAATTTCTTCTGGAGGCCTATTTTCGTAGTGGACAAAACAATGGTAATGGTTGGAAATATTCGATGAATTCGTGTCATTTACAATTTCAAGAACAATTTCCAAATGATGAAATTGATTATGAAATTTTTTCGAGACACGTGAAGAGATTAGTGGAACGCTTCCATAACACTGGAAGTGTTTGTAGAGGAAAATCTCCAGGCAGAAAGTCTATTCTTACAGAGGAAGTCTTGGAAGATGTTGAAAACCGCTTACGAGCTAGTCCAACCAAATCACTACGTCGGTTATCTGCTCAAACAGGTACTTAATAACAAATATTTATTCTAAAATTTGTATCATTATTCCTAAATTGTTTATAGGAATATCATATGGATCATGCCATAAAGCAGTAAAGAAGTTGCATTTTCATCCTTATAAAGTTAGTGTTGTGCAGGAACTACTTCCGTTAGATTTTGGAAAACGTGTGCAATACTGTAATTGGTTTAACGAAAATCTGAATGACGACGATATTCTAGATCTAACATTTTTTTCTGATGAAGCGTGGTTTCATTTAAGTGGGTACGTAAACTCCCAAAATTATCGCTCTTGGAACACAGAAAACCCTAATATTTTGCGTGAAACAACTCTGCACCCTATTAAACTTGGTGTTTGGGTAGCTATGTCACGTAGAAGAATAATCGGACCATATTTTTTCCGTGAAAATGTAACTGGGCAGGTATATCGGCAGCAAATATTGTTACCATTTTTTGAGGAACTTCACGACGATGAAATCCATCATGGATACTTTCAGCAAGATGGCGCAACAGCTCACACCTCTAACGAAACTTTAGAGTTGATTAGAGAGTATTATGATGATCGAATAATTAGTCGAGATAGATGGCCACCACGTTCTCCTGACCTTACACCCCTAGACTATTATTTATTTGGTTTTTTAAAAAATTCAGTATTTGCTCAACGGTTACACACGATTGAAGAACTTCAAGAGGCAATTACAAACGAAATTAGGAGTATTACACAAAATGTTTTACAGAATGTATTTAATAATATGAAAAGAAGAATTAATACCTGCTTGAACAACAATGGACATCATATTGAACATTTATTGTAAAAATATAGATATTTTTATGGATTTTATGTAATTTTAAGGTAAAATATTCAATAAAATGTGAAAAAATTCCAATTACTCTGTTATTATATATTGCATGTAACTGTTGTTTATTGCTCTCGGTCATACAGACAATCCTACCATCTAACATAATCAAGCACTTCCAACTGCTTGCATTTGCTTGAAGCAAATTTTTTTAAGACACTTTTCCTGAATTTCGACAGCTAACTAAAATGTTCAGCATAAATTTTTGGGCTGGATCGCTTGCGCTGGATATTCAGAAGTGTGAAAGCAGTAGCTGCAAAATAGTCGTCTTATAAGCATACAGCAGTTTGCTTTGATGAAAAACAGCAGCTTGCAGCGTATCGCTGTATAGCTGAATCGTCTTAGATGCCAAGAATGTAGCCACAATAGTGCTTCTGTTTTAAAATTAACTCATAACGTTTTAAAAATAAAATCGCTGAAGCACTTACAGTCGTTATTCAAAATTAGCTACATCAAACTTTGATTTAAAAGTTTTTCTAATTGTAAATGAAATAAGAATTTTGGAAAAGTTAGGCTAAACCTACATTTGATTCTGTCATCCTCTTTAATAATAATAACAATAATAACATTTATTGGTCCATCAGTATTGCTTAATTTGTGAAATAACTTTGATTTTTGTTAAATAATTGATATTTTTATTATGAATTTCCATTTTGACAGTAACCTAATTTATTTGACGTTTGAACGTAATTATTTGTTTACCATTAAAATCCCTCAACCTGCGCTCATGATTCTAGTATTGTTGTCAGAAATTGGTATGTCGCACATCAAAAATCAGTATGAGGCGGCACGGTCAATCATTATCGATCACCCTGTACAATATGCATACACAAATACTTCCTGTTTGATAAGCATGCAAGTATCGCCTGTGTATATAGGAATCGCGAAACACATAGAGTGGACATAAATTAATAGCGTCAGATGGTTAATTGGGAAAATTCGTACGTAGCGCGTATCTGAAAATATCTGATAAGACTGAAAATTTTACATTGCGTAAGCGCAATTTCAGCAAATCCACAGAACTGAAAAAGCCCTTCCTGGAGGGGTAAGGCACGAGCGTAATGGTATGTCCCAATCTGAATGCAATCAATGCGATTGCGCAACGCAAACCGCTACCGCGGAACTGCTCCTCTCACTCCGGCTCGCGGCGGATCCACAAATAGAAAAAGCGGCGGCGTGAGCGAACCGACAGTTTAATCTCAACTGTTGCACCTAAAATATACTTCAATAGAGATACCTGACTATTGACATTTGACGGGCAGTGCTCTGTTATTGTGTAGTATTTAGTACATGTTTCATTAATTTTATTAGCTATGGCCGAGGAGGACTTGAACGACGACGGAAGTGATGTGAATACGAAATTCGGGTTAAGGTTGCGTGGGAGAAAAGGTGCTCTGAAGAAAAAAAATGTTTACAACGTCAAGAACCACCGTTTCATTCCCAGATTTTTCAAACAGCCTACCTTCTGTTCGCACTGTAAAGATTTCATTTGGTGAGTATCGGCTTCTGTGCTGTTTCATTGTACGGAGCGACTCCTACACGATAATTGATTTTTGTTCCTGCCATGTTACTCATTCATAAAAACTATTAATGTTCGCTGGTATTGTAAGTGGCAGTGACTTTCCCAGGTCGGCGGAATGCCGGCTTGAATATTAAATTTCAATTTTAATAGGAATTTAATTTAAACCTGGAAATAGTTTTTACGTATACGTATTTACCCACGAAAAAATCATCAATCGGATTGTATCTACCTACTCTATACTTCATAGATAGTACCTATATTTGTTATCTATACTTATTAATTTTAATATACCCAAAATATTTTTATATACGGATATTAATACAGGGTGTCCGGTAAGTACCTCCTAATCTCTCGGGAGTGTATAGGGGAGGTCAAAATAAAACTAGTCCTTCCTATAATTTTTTTTCCTAATGTGCCCCCTAACGGAGTTATGGGGGGTCAAAGGGGTACCTAGAAATTAACGTTTAGGGTTATAACTTTGAAACCACCCTGTATATTTTAATAAAATTTTCGTACGTTGTATTACACATGGAGCTCTACGATTTGATGCTAAAATCAACTTTTTGCTATTATCAGGTGTCCAGAAACGGACTGGCCCTATCACAATTTTTCTCAAAATTTTGACAGAAGTAATTTTATCAAACTGAAAATATTATTATTAGATACTCTGAAGGTTTTTCTTTAAAAATGGTACTCTTTATTTATTTCGAAAAAATGAACGGTTTGCGAGATAAATCGGTTTTGAAAAAAATTGGTAACAAATACAACAACAATTAAAATTTATTTTTTTACAATAAAATCATTCCCGCTAGTGCCAGCCTACAGATTCACCATAAACATTTACTGGTGGTGAATTAAGGGAATGAATAATGCCGTTTCTTGTAAAATCAACATCTATGACCAAAATACATCTACAAATTATTATTGCTCTTGTCTCCATGGAGTTCTTTTCTATTGTTTTCGTTGTTAGACCCTGTTGATTTTAAAGTACTTGTCAAAGGCGCGTGACAGAATAAAAATTCAATTTTATTGTGGTATTCGTTTTAAGCCGTTAGAAATAACATTTAAAAATGGAAGAATATTCCTGTGCAGAATATGCTGATATGCACCTAATTTATGGGGAAGCATTATGCAACTCCGTGGAGGCAAGAAGACTTTATGAGGAAAGGTTTCCGGGTCGACATTTGCCGAGTCCAAAAACTTTTGAAAGAGTTGATCGTAGTTTAAGAGAAACAGGTAAAAAAAAATAGTGAAAAACGTTAGTGAAACTAATTTCTTCCGAATCCTTTATTTAGGAAGCTTTTTGCCACGCCGTGGTGGAGCAGGAGCCCCGAGGAGAGTACGAGACCCTCATGTAGAGGAACAAATATTGGAAGACGTTGCTAATAATCCTTCAAATAGCATAAGGAAGCTTGCGGCGCAAAACAATGTTACAAAATGGGCTGTACATGAAACTCTGAAAGAACAATTGCTTTACCCGTACCACATCCAAAAAGTACATGCTATGTCTCCAGATGATTATCCAAAAAGACTTCAATACGCCAATTGGTTTTTACAGCATCATATTCGGAATCATAATTTTGGTACATCTATTTTGTTCACCGATGAAGCAGGTTTTACAAGAGACGGCATAATTAATTCGCATAATCTACATGTCTGGGATGAAGAAAACCCTCACGCTTTAGTTCAAACTCGCTACCAACAAAGGTTTATGGTGAATGTGTGGGCTGGCATTATCGGGAATCATTTGATTGGTCCATTTATTCTGGAGCAAAGACTTAATGGTGCTCTTTATTTGCAATTTTTAGAGGAAAATCTAAATATTTTGTTAGAAGAAGTGCCCCTTCAAATAAGAACTGAAATGTGGTACATGCATGACGGTGCACCACCCCACTTTGATCGTTTAGTACGTCAACATCTGACGAATGTTTTTGGTGATCGATGGATAGGTCGAGGCGGACCTGTATTATGGCCACCTAGGTCGCCCGACCTAAACCCATTAGACTTTTTTCTGTGGGGTCATTTAAAAAATAACGTTTATTCAACACCCGTAAATAGTAGAGAGGAACTTCTGCTGAGGCTAACACAGAACTGTGACCATCTCCGCAATAATCACGGAATATTATTTCAAGTGCACCGGGAAAACATTCGTAGGATTAGAAAGTGCATTGAAGTACGGGGTGCTCATTTTGAACATCTACCGAAGTAACATTTAGGTACCTTTGTTCATTGTTGAATGTTCTTTGTTGCATGTCTTGTAAGTAAGTTATTTTTCAAATGTTATTTTTAATTGGTCACTACTTGCTCATAAAGTATAGCCAACCCGTTCAAAGATTTCTGGACTTGATAAAGTTAAAGAAATTAAATGCATGAAATAATATGTAAAAAAAATAAATTTTAATTGTTGTTTTTGTTACCAATTTTTTTCAAAACCGATTTATCTCGCAAACCGTTCATTTTTTCGAAATAAATAAAGAGTACCATTTTTAAAGAAAAACCTTCAGAGTATCTAATAATAATATTTTCAGTTTGATAAAATTACTTCTGTCAAAATTTTGAGAAAAATTGTGATAGGGCCAGTCCGTTTCTGGACACCTGATAATAGCAAAAAGTTGATTTTAGCATCAAATCGTAGAGCTCCATGTGTAATACAACGTACGAAAATTTTATTAAAATATACAGGGTGGTTTCAAAGTTATAACCCTAAACGTTAATTTCTAGGTACCCCTTTGACCCCCCATAACTCCGTTTGGGGGCACATTAGGAAAAAAAATTATAGGAAGGACTAGTTCTATTTTGACCTCCCCTATACACTCCCGAGAGATTAGGAGGTACTTACCGGACACCCTGTATAAACAACCGATTTGGTCTTCGATAGTTGATATACAGGGTGGTCCGAATTTTATGCAGGAAATTTCGAGGGCAGATAGATCTTTTTAACATAGTAGGTGTTTGCCTTATAAACATAGGTCTGGAACGGCCTCGTTTTAGAGATACAGGGTGTTGAAGTTGTTAAAAAGAATATATTTTTTTATATCTCCGGAATCCATCGACCGATTTCAATAAAATTTAGTACAGATAATGCATGATAGTAGGCCTTGTATTCCCTAAAATATGAGCTCTACAGATTCAACCAATGGTGTACAACTGGACAGGGTCACACCCTTTTTTATTAAAAAAAAAACTACGCCACTGTATTTTTTACAAGTCATTGTAACGAATTTATATTCTAATGCACAAAATACTTAAAAAAGGTAACTTGAATTTTTTCCCTAAAGTTTACGGTTCTCAAGTTATTCATACCAATATAAAACCCTTGTGGCAGACACTTCTAACCATAATATTACAAGAATATTTATGTTTATGCTGAAAAGTAAATGCTATTTGTAAGCACATCAACAAAATTCTTTACACTCATCGCTTTCATCTCTTTGGATTAAAACAATATTTGGAAAATCACGACAGGAATGAAATTTTTAAAAGCATTTTACGACGATCCTCGGCTAAGTAGGTACACGAAGAACGTCTCGGCAACTTGGGGTGAGTAAATCGAAAATTTGAAAAGTTCTACGTTAGGATGGCAGAAATATGTACCATTTACAATCTGTGCAAAATTTACTTCCGGGAGATGCATAGAGACGCCTAAATTTTTATCAGTGGTTGTTTGAATTCTTACTAGAAATACTTTGGACCGATGAAGCTACGTTAACAAGGCCAGGGGTAGTGAATTTTCACAATCTGGATATTTGGTCACAAGAAAATCCTCATGAAATTCGCAGTCATTTCTAAACTTTCTACAAAACCATCCATTTGAATTATTAGAGGATGTTCTATTAAATATACGACAAAATAGCTGGATACAAATGGATGGTACTCCTGCGCATTTTAGGAGAATAATACAAGAATGGCTTAATGAAAATTATATGAGATGATGGATAGGTAGAAGACCAAATGCCAATGTCAATCATAATGGTGCAGAGGGCCCAGTGTCTTGGCCAGCCAGATCGCCAGATCTAAACTCCCTGGACTTCTATGTTTGGGGTGACCTACCTGAAAAGTTTACTCTACTCCAATAGATACTAGACCACAACTACTGCAGCGAATAGAAGACGGGTGTAATGAATTAAAAGAAAACCACCACATGATATTAGCTTCAATTAGTTCCATTAATAGAAGACGTCAGAAATGTATCGATGTGGGTGGTTCGCATTTTAAACAATTGCTGTAAATACGTAACGTTAATTTTGTTTCTTTTTAGTTGTTGTTGCTTGGTAAATGTATTTTTATTATTATTTTAATTTAAATTGTTCTTATTTGTAAAGGTAATGCCTGATAATGGGAAAACTAAAACACACCAAGAACACTACCTCACAAGTGATGTGGAAAGAATTTTGTTGATGTGCTTACAAATTACACTTACTTTTAAGCATAAACATAAATATTTTTGTAAATTGATTTAAAGTGTCTGCCACAAGGGGATTGTATTTGTACGAATAACTTGAAAATGGTGAACCTTAGGGAAAAAATTCAAGTTACCTTTTTTACGTATTTAGTGCATTAGAATATAAATCCGTTACAATAACTTGTAAAAATACAGTGGCGTAGGTTTTTTTTATAAAAAGGGGGTGACCCCTGTCCAGTTGTACACCACTGGTTAAACCTTTAGAGCTCATATTTTAGGGAATGCAAAGCCTACTATCGTACCTTATTTGTACCAAATTTTATTGAGATCGGTTAATAGATTCCTGAGATATAAACAAAAAAATATATTTTTTTAACAACTTCAACACCTTGTATCTCTAAAACGAGGCCGTTCCAGACCTATGTTTATAAGACAAACTCCTATTATTTTAAAAAGATCTATCTATCCTCGAAGTTTTCTGCATAAAATTCGGACCACCCAGTATATTAATTAATTTTATTCAATACCTATAAAGTGCTAAATACTTTAAATGTCTACAGCTGAGCTA